AGTAGGTCTCTTGCAGCTCGTTTTCCCACAGCATTCCATTGGTTCTCCCTCCTGTCTCTCTATGTTATGTTTTCTATATCTGAAATTTCGTAGAAGCGGAATATAAAGGACGAGAAACAAACGCTTGCACACATTACACAAGGTTTATTTGCTTTCATCGCGCGTATGCGTAACAAAATAGACACAATTTTTCACCTACAGTTTTGGTGACTAATCACAGTTACTACATACAAAGGAATAAATCAAGATACCACACCCTTTACAAAATGCCCTCGTATGGTTTGATCATTCTGGGAACTTAAAACAGTAGGTTAACGCTTTGTAGCGCATGTCCCCATCCAACATAACCAAGGCTTTCTAGGTCTGAACGCTATTCGGCAGCCATCTTGGAATAAAATATGGATATGTCAGATGTCCAGTCTTCTTCCGCATTTCATTCTCTTCTTGCATACGAGGTTGAACAACGGTCATTAGGTAACTATGGTAACTATTGACGAGATTCACAGCGTTAATGTCTTGAAGCTCGTTGCCGTAGTCAAACAGGGAATCGAAACGAAATTCTCCCAGGGACAAGAACGCTGAGGATTGGATCTGAAACATTTTCAAAAATCTACAATAAATGTTCATTGGAGAATCTTTTTTTACAATATTTGCCTCATTAGCATAAGCGATACAATTTCTGATGGAGCTACAAAAACAGTAGTTCTAAGTATTGAAAGAGCACAGGAACTCTCCCAAGGAATTTGAGTCAGCATTTGACTTGATGCTTAAGATTCCTAAACTCAAGTCGAACTTGCCATCTCTTTAATTTACACCACTAGAGATCTTGAAGGGCGCGCAAATTACAGTCATGAAATATTCAATATCTATCTTTGAGCCCCCTGTGCCTAAAAATCTCCCTTATAACCGGAACTTACGAAGTTTACCTCCGTCCCCGTCCCTTCCTTCCTCCAACCCTGCACCCCCCCCCCTTCCAATATGTGACAAATAGTGAGGTAATATCTCAAACACGCAAGAATGTGTTAGACCACATTTCCAACCACAGAGAAGAGAGTTGAAAATACGAAGCGTAGCGGAGTATTTCTGACGACCTTCGAGGTGTTTGGAAATGTGGTGTAAACACTGCCTTGAGTGTCTGATATATCTTCTTAATCGAAACTAAAACTAAGGAGAAAGCGGAGAAATGACATATTGTGAACATTTTTGCTGATTAAGATCATATATTCAATCTCCGTCAGGGTCATGATTTCCTTTGTTCAAACTTGATGAATTTATTAATGAGTTTGACAAGGTTTACTTACAGCACTTGTCAGCCTGTTAGGAAGGCGAAAAACAGAGAATTCTCCATCTTTCACTCTGGTGTCATCGTACAGTTTAGTTGGCTGGTTGGGAATGTATTTAGGGTAGTCTGCCAAGACATAGTTGACCGAGGCGTGATAGATTGTCACGTGCGAGATGATTCGACTAAGTATCTCACAGAGTTCTTCCTTGGAATCAATACCTGCTGGCAAACCTCGAATCTATCCAAGAGAAAAATAAATAAAAGTGAAGAATGATCATCGCAGTAAAATTGTCTTGTTTTGTTTTGTTTTGTTTTTTTGCGATGATCATTCTTCACTTTCATCTACAACCGCAGTTCAAATATGAATTAATTCATACATACTTCAGAAAAATAAATGTAAGGCATCTTTAAATAGAGGTTTCGATCCAGAAGAAAGGCATCAGCTAAATGTGTACACTTTTGAAATTATAACATTTGATGAAGCCTGAACTTTTTTCAGGGTTCATCGCACCCACGAAAGTTGTGTATTTAACTGCGATAGTCGTTCTTAATCTTTCCAATTCTAATTAAATCTCTATCCAGCATTCCAAATATATGAACTTCATATCTTTTGTTTCGCTTGTCAGTAATGGTATGTTATTGTTGGCTCAAGCTTATGCATATACAACTAAACAAGACTCGGAATCTCATGAAACCACATCACCATAAGAGACAAACTTATACTCAAACGTTTTCAACTCGAAACATTATACATATAAAATATTGTGAATATTATAGATCAGTTTGGGTCTAAGTACAAGCGCTGTTTGTTTTTTTGTTTGTTTGTTTGTTTGTTTGTTTGTTATTGACCCTTTGGTCGTTGACCACTTCGCAGAGGTTGGACAGCACCGGACCCTTTTCTACCGGATTTTCTTGTTTAAAACAGGTTAAACCGAAGTTATTAATTAGTTAACAGATATGAAGCGGGGGTTATATATAAAGGCGACATCCTTTTTTAAAAGTAAGTATGGACTCAGTTTGCTTGATGCTTAGTTTCCATATTTACCCTTCCAATACCACCATTCAGTCCAGTTCCGTCTAGTAACACTTCATTGAGATAAGCTTGAAGCTCCACGTCTTCTGTAACGTCTTTATCCTCTTTATAATACCTAGACACGATTAAACCGCGTTTCATGACAATTGAAAGGATAAACAAAGGGGTCTAGAAAGTCGCTGTTGTGTACGCTTAAGTTTGTTTTTGGCTTTGACACTTTTCAGTTCAGGTTGATTGATTGTCTTTCGATTTAAATAGTGGCTATGGACACGAACGAAGGAAAATCAAAATAGAAATATGGGTTATTGACCAAGTGTGAGGTCAAGATGGCTGGATATTGGCCAAGTTCTTTTTATGGACCGAGACGGAGTCGAGGTCCATAAACTCGCAAAAAAAGAACGAGGCCAGTATCAAGCCATCTTGATCGAACAAGCTTGGTAAATAAAGGAATTATTATATGGCTTTCGGGGAAATTTTTCTTGCGGGACGCGGCGGTAGTCCCGAGCAGGCAAGATAGCTCCATCTTGCCCGCTCGGGTAGCCAATCACAGCGCAGGATTTGATTCATCTTGCCCGCTCAAGGAGCTATCCGTGTAATAAGTACACTTATAAGTAACAAAATAAATAAAATCAATTACAATATTTAGAGAGGAAGCCACATCAGCCTTAGCTTGTTTTCATGCGGGTCCTTTATCCTGATCGAATTGGAATTTGGAGATGTTGATTTTTGTAGAGGGAGGAAAAGCGGAAAACCCGGAGAATAACCCTAGGAGAAAGGTGAGAGCCAACCGCAAACGGAATCCACAGAAGGCACCGGGCCGGAATTGAACCCGGCCGGGCCACATTGGTGGGAGGCGAGCGCTCTCACCACTGCGCCATCACTCTCCCAAGTAAGCTGTATTTTGATTTGCAGACTTACCACTAGTTGGTTTAGTTCTTCTCGCATTCAAGACATAAGAACAAAGAAAGGACGCGTACGAGGCTACCTGTTTTAACTATTTACTCAGAATGGGTTTCAACAGGTCTCTTTCAAATTTGACAGGAACGGTAAAATCTAGCTACATCCTTAGCAACTACTCTATTTTTATCGGAGAAATTTCTGACTGCAAGACGTAAACAGTGATGAGGACAGCGTGTTTCCTTGATCGCTTGAAAGTTTTACTTTTTCTCCCTTGCTCCCTATCGATAAACTCCATCGTTCCCTATAATTTTTTTTTCTGCCAAAGTTACATTTCATAGCATAGGGATATCTTTGCTCCCTTAAGGTGGCTCAAAACAGTTTCCAGCAGCTAGATTTTGATGGTTCATTATGACCACTCTTTATCACTTGATGCTACAATCATTGTATCAACAAACTGCCCAATCATTGGCGAGCACGTTGCTGTCATTTTCGCGACTCTGTAGGCTACCGTGGCAACAGTTTTACCTGATAAAAGCACCCTTAATTACAGCTTTAGGTTCCTATAATTCAAAAAGGGCACGGTGAAATTTTTTTGTAATAGCAAATTTTAATAAGCATGATGAGACGCAACTTTTGGCAAAGCTTAGAAAAAACTGAACAAAGGGTTGAGAGCCACCTTTAAGTTTTAAAAATTTAAGGCGGCTCTGAACCCTATGTACAGAAGGTTTTTAAACTTTGCCAAAAGTTGCGTCTTATAATGCTTATCAAAATTTGATATAATATAAAAATTTCACCGTGCCGCTTTTGAATCATAAGCCCCTAAAGCTGTAATTAAGGGTGTTTTCAGCAGGTAATACTGCTGCTATGGTAACCTATCGTGTCACGAAAATGATAACAACATGTTTACCAATGATTGGGCAATTTGTTGATACCATGATTGTAGCGTCAAGTGATAAAGGGTGGTTATGACAACCTATCAAAATCTAAGTGCTGTAAACTGTTTTGAGCCACCTTAAATTAATCCCTGGAACATCCCTTGCTCCCTTCAAATAAATGATCCTGTTCCTTTTTTCCCCAAGACCCCTGGGGGAGGCCCTCAATGACGTCGTCAGTGCACTGAGCAAACAATTTTGTCTCAGATAACTCTATCATCAAGGTGCCAGTTCCACACAAAGCCGAAATATTTACAGGCACACCTGGGCTGTTTGGTAGAGCCTGAATTAAGAGGCTTCTAAGTCATGAGGGCTTCATGCTCACTTACAAGTTGACGTAATCTTCAACCATTGCTTCGATAACTCTTAAGATTTTAAAACCATCATCTCGGAAAGGAAAGTACGGCAACAGCTTCCTGTCATCTAGTCCACGGCCCTGGTGAAAATTAACGTAAAGTTCAATTCCGTGACCATTGAGTAATGGAAGTGAACGTAACAAAGACAAAATCATCTACTCTCTTTACCAGCACTTTCATCAAGTGAAAGGAAAACGAGAAATTTCAGCTTTGGAAACAAGGTAAGTGCAAGCTATTAGATTCTGGAGATTTTATTCCTCAGTTGTACATTTGGTTTATAATAATTAAATCTTCTATAGCTTAGTGTTGGTGTTCGTGAAGAAACTATCTGTTTGGCTAATTTCTTTTTTTGGCAGAAAATAAATAGTACCATTGGAATTAGCCTGCATGCGGGAGCATCCGGATATTCTGGCAAACTACCTGACCATCCGTTAGCGGTGAAATGGAGATTATTGTTGGTAATGCCATTCTTGAAACTCACAAAGCCTTGAAAGGTCCAAAAGGGAAAGGTTGAGGTAGGCAGACATCGCCACATACCTTGATGTTCTTTCTGAAGTCTGTCACTTCCCAGCTTGTCAGAGGATGTATGTCTTGCAGAATTCTTAGCGCTCCGTCATTTCCATATGCAAACAGCACGTCTGCAAACCCTGACTCGCCGAGCAGGATAGGAGTTCCGAACGTAGTGGGGACAATTGTCTCTCGGCAGTGATACTTCAGTATTTGATTCAGTGGATGCATGGGAGGTAAGGTGCGTTTTAAGGAGACGCAGAATGGCTCTATAAAATAATGGACCTGAAACAAAACAAGCAGCTAAGATAAAAAATTAAAAAAACAAAAATATGGCCTAAAATGACCTCAAATGCATGGTCAAAAATTATCACAGCTTGGCAACTTTGTGTTTGGCCCGTTAATGGTGTCCAGTGTCACAGCTCCTATTTTTCCATGACTTTTATGATAATGCTCCTCTGTATTTCAATATGTTAATAGTTTTTATTTCTTATTGCTGTAGTTACCCTAGCAAGATGCTCTGCGATTTGAGCATATCCGATATCCGTGATTTGAACATTAAGTTTGGCCATCAACCAGTTGTCTCCATCTTCGGGAGTGTAAACTGCTGAATCTAGCGGAAACAAAGTTTAGCCAGTTTTTGAGTAAGGAACAAAGATTGAAAATCAAATACATTTCATGCGAAACGCTAGGAGTTAAGGAAAAGTGACGTTGTTTCCGGTGCTTCTTTTTTCTCGTACTAAGCGGACTGTTAGTCGTTGGTATATGTTTGTCTTATCAACCAAGTGTGACAGCCGTACCCGAGGTCTCCACAGCGCGAACCGAGCGAGGGAGGACCATACAAAAGAGACAATATTCTCTCAGTACGGTCCCGAGCAAGCTTGGTTAATAAGAGATTTATTGCACGACTGAAAATGTTTAGAAAAAATGCCACGATTACGAAAAAGCGGGCAATTCTGATTGGGAGCCGACTAGGCGTATGCTCACGTGTAAAACAGAAGGGAGAGAGAGTTCGTAGGAAAAGAAAAGGAATTTTTTAAGTTTGAAGCACGTTCTTTCATAAAACAACCAAAAATATCTTTAAGAATTGAATGATCATGCGGTATCATTCGGGACAGTGCCCGATCCAATACTTGGAGAATTTTGGACCGGCAATGGAGCAATCCGATTGGCTGATTTTAGTTATTGGCCCACTGAACTAACTTAATCGTCTCTGATAAATACTCATACATACTCATGTAACTAACCTGGCTTGTAGTCCATTTGTATAGCAACAGGCACAAGTTCATTGTCTTTACCAACTTTGGTAGATGCAAACAGAGCGATGGGAGATAGAAAGTCCCGCATGGTTCTTCGAGGATCTTGATCTGTGAAGTCTGGAGATCTCGTAAGACTGTCACACAGCTCGTAACGAAGAGCATAAATGCGACCCTGTTTTATGGCCTGAAACGTTAATATAATTACACCGTTTGATTGTGTTCAATTAGTCATTTAATTCCCTGCACATTTCGCACCATGCGAGTTGTAATAAAAATAAAAAAATGAATAAATGAATAATCTTTAAGATGTCTGAATTCTCAAAAGCTTGACAAGGGGACGAGATATGCAGAGCATGGGTTAGTGATCTGATGTTCTTCAGGCAAAAAAGCAAACTATACTAACGTCTAGTTTTCTGACTGTAAATACATTTCCTTAATTCCCTAATTATAGTTCTGTAAATTCAATCAATATCATTTCAAACTATCATGCAAGTCTTTATATTGATGGACTACCTGAATTTATGAAAATGGTGTCAAAGCCATAATCCTTTTGGTCACCGCTCTAGTACAAAGTTAGTCATATAATTAAAAATTTCATGGAATGTCAGATCTTCTTATTCCTCCACTCTTTTACCTTACTTTTTGTAAATCATCATCATCATAGTCATAGCGTTCCTTCGGAAGAAGGGGCCATTGACTTTTTTTCCTCCAATCTACTGTCTTTCACAACGGTGACAGCGTCATTCCGAGAGGCAGAACCCATCTTCTGTCTCTCTCCCTCTACCATTCTCCTCCATGTCTCCTTTGGTCGACACTATTCCTCTTTCCCTCAAGTGGCCAAGTTAGGGCAATGCATGGGTTCTGTGGATGATCCATACGCAGTATGTGCCCTATCCAGTGCAACCTTCGTCTCCTAATCTGCTCACTGATGGTGCAAGTCCTAGCTCTTCGCCTCACGTCTTCGCTCGTAACCCTCATCGGCCAATATATTTTTAACGAACTCCATCACCTCATCCCTTTGGTCATTCTTTACGTCTCGCATCCATAGAGTAGCAATACTACAAGGTTGGACTTGAAGATCATGATCTTGGTGTTTTTGCTTAGTTGACCACTTCTCCAGATCTTGGTTAGTTTGTTAAATGTTTCCGTAGTTTTTCCTAAGCGGCTCTTGATGTCGTCCTCAGACCCTCCATGTTTGATTATTCTTGCTCCCAGATGGTCAACGCCGTCCACGTCCTTTATTTTCTGTCCATCCACTACAACTGCATTGCTGTTCTTTGCGTTGATCCTCATGATTTTGGTTTTCTTGGTGCTGATTTTCAGGCCTGTTCCCTTCCTGTCGCTATTCAGACGGTAAATCGTTATCTGGATGTGTT